GTTCATATGTTTAAAAACATAACTTTTTATGTGGTTTGAGATTATTACTCAAAAAACTTTCTCTTAAAAGAGACGATACTCAAACTGCTCAAAACACTTTTGGAAATCTCAGTTTTCTCTCATCTTAAATGTGAAAACATTTACTATTGGGAATACCTAGTTCCCATATATCATTTAAAGAAATGAACTCAACTCTGCTCTTTCTCAAAAATATTTCAAAATCATATTATAATATGATCATTGATGACTCGGGAAGTCATACTGCATAAACAATGATGGTATATCTAGATACCATACTGCTCATACATTGACGACATACTCGATTGTCATACTAATAATGTTTTAGAAAACTCTTTTCTCAAAACTCATCTTTACTTTCTCAAAACTCAGTTTAAGAACTTAAGTGTTGGCTTTAAAATATTTTTTTTAAAAAAAATTATAACTCAAATCATAGGGTTCATGTGGAATTATGAACATGAATGACTCAACTCGAACTTAAGTGTTGGCTTTAAAATATTTTTTTTAAAAAAAATTATAACTCAAATCATAGGGTTCATGTGGAATTATGAACAGGAGCGACTCAACTCACGGATCTTAATAACAATAAAGAACCTCAGTACTCAAGACTCAATGATACTACTCTTCTCTAGACTGCTCGACTCATAGGGTTCAAGCGGAATTATGGGCATGAACTACTCAACTCAAGGACCTTCATGGGTAACATGTAGTAGCCTCATGATTAGGAATATAATCCCAAAATGATTAGGAACTCAATACTCAAGACTTAGAACTTGAAGATACTACTCCTCTCAAAGATACTCAACTGATGGAGTTCATGCGGAATATATGGGCATGAACGACTCGACTCAAGGGTCTAAATTACAATATGAAACTCATGTATACGACTCTTCTCATTTTCATACTTGCTTCCTCAAAACTCAATTTAAAATTCAAGTGTTGGCTTTGAAAAACTTCTCAAAATTTATATTCATACTGAATTATAGACATGAACAAGTCAACTCAAGGATATCAATAAAAATATAGAAACTCAATACTTAGGAATAGCATTTTTAAAAGAATCGGGAATTCAAGAACTCAAAATCAACTTAGCTCAAGAATACTCAAATCTAGGGGTAGAATCCTAGATTTCTCTTTTATTGATTTGAAAGTAAATGTAGGGCGTGAGGACGAATTAGTCCAACACTATGATAGCCTTACATACTTGAAAATACAAGGTTCTTGAAGAGCGCCTTGAAGAAGAACTTGATTAGAAGCCTTGAAACTCTAGCTTGAAGGTAAACAATCAAGAAAACCTTTCTTGGGATTCTTGAATTAGTTTCTTGAAATCTCTATGGCCAAGATTTATTATTTTCATAAGTGATTCATAATTGTATGGAGGAAATTGAGTTAGAAAGAATGGAATTCTTGGAGAAAAATTTACCTTGAAGAAGAATCTTGAAAAAAGATTGAAAGAATCTTGAATGAAGTCTTCTTCTTTGATTTTTCCTTAGGGTTTTGCCCTATGGTTTGAGAGAGAAGAGAATGATGGACTAAAAGATGAAAATCTGATTGTTTTGAGCCTTTTATTAGTCAAGAAATTAGTTTAGGATTTTCTTGGAGGTAAAAAAACAAAAACAACACCTTTTAATGTTTTCCCATCGGCTAATTTGTAACAGCACTGTATAGGTTACTAAAATAGTCATAACTTTTTACTCAAAAATTGGATTGACGTGAAATTGGTGGCATTGGAAAGTAGATTCAAATACCTTTAATTTAATAGTCTATGAATCACGTAACTCTTTATATTCTAAGAGAGATAGTTATTTGAAGTTGACCCAAGTAGAATCTTACATCAAAACTTAATCGATAAGGAAACTTCAAGAACTCATGAAGAAATTAAATTGCTCAATATTTATGGATAGATTCGAAAAATAAACTCATGATTGACGTGTGGGTGAACGAACCCAACACTATGGAAGCTTACATACCTCAAAGAACTAGGTTCTTGACAAAATCTTGAATTTCTTGAGCGAACGCTTGAAATTTTGAACTTTTTCTCCTCCAACACTATGGAAGCTTACATACCTCAAAGAACTAGGTTCTTGACAAAATCTTGAATTTCTTGAGCGAACGCTTGAAACTTTGAACTTTTTCTCCTCTTGAATCTTTTCTCTAAAACCCTAAATGCTTTTGGGGATGAATGAAACTATTTCTAATTAGTTTAGACTTTTAAAACATTACTAAAACCACTTAAATACGATTGAGTAAGGAAAAGACTAAAATACCCCTCATATTTTTGGGTAACTTTCCTTAATTGGACAGCCCAACTTCAAACTGGCATATCTCCCTCATACGAGCTCAAGATTTAGAAAACTCGGTGGCGTTGGAAATATAATTTGAAGAACTTTCATTGGATATCTTATAGGCCACCTAACTCATCATGTACTAAAGGTTATGGTCATTTTAAGTTGACCCAAAACTTAGAAGAACCTAGAAATCACTTGGATGAATTCTCTTTAATTATTTTTGGAACTCAAGGTGCTATATCTAGTGATCTTAATACGTAAGAAATTTTGAATTCCTTGGTAAAATCCTACTCACCATGAAGGATGGTTCGAGTCTTAGTTCAGAAAATTTCTGGGGTGTTAGAAAAACAATGTTTCATTTTTGCTCCGAATAACCTATATACCATAGCATATGCAAATTAATGTATCAGTTTGTTCAGATCCAACATACCAAATACCATATCAAACTCGACAATTTGAAAAAAAAGTACGAAAACACATACTTTGGACAATGAAGGCCTGGAGATTGGAGGTGATGTTTTCCTTCCTTTTTGGGTGTTTTTTTTTACAACATTTGATTTTGAGGATGATGGTACTTCCTTGTTCGATTTGGAAATATTTTGATTCTTCTTCATTTATAGTGGGTCGTGCAAAATTGGATCTATTTTTAGCCCATTTATCTTCGTCAGAATCATATATCCGATTAGTATTAGAAGAAATTGGTTGAGTAATCCCAATATTAAATGAAGCACCCTTATCCATATGTATCAGAAATAGAACTTTGAACAAAAACAAGAACTCGAATAAAATAGCAATGGAGAAGACAACCCCTCCCTATTCAGATGTTTGAAATTGGTTGACTGGAGAGAGAATCGTTTTGAAATCAACTTGATAACTGCGTTAGGGAGAAAAAAAGGAGTTGAAAAGGAAGTGGGTAAACGTGGGTTTCACTTATGTATCCGGAAGTTTTAAGAATTGGGATAAAAAAGGGATTTTTGAAATATTTAAAAAAGGTAGGGAAAAATGGAGAAGAAAGAAACTTAAGTTGTGTATATAAGTAATTTTCCTTTTTTGAACCCCTCTCAGTGAGCTTCCACCCCTTTTGCTCCTTTGATGACTCAATTCACAATCAGAGACGAATCCTGAATTTGGAAGTATGGGTGTTACATGTTTAAATAGGATAAATGGGTCGGTTTCTCCTATTTATAGATATTTATAAACAACTTGATCAAATATACACATTTAGTAATTTGTTCTTTTAGATATTCTAATATTAAAGATACCTAAACAATTTAATTTTTTTTGTAGTAATAAGAGATAGTATTCTCTAAAACTTTGACAAAATTATTCGAACTTATATAAATCATCTAATACCATTACTTTATTATATTCATATTTCATTGCCTCAATGTGTTATTGCAGATATATAGTTGAGAAAAAATATTTATAAATTATAGCTTCAACCCAATTGTTTCACTTAGCACGACGTAGAATATCAAAAGCACCTTTAAATTCAAAAAATTCTAACATAATAATACACATCATTTTTAAAACTTTATTATTTATTTTTTATTAAAATACTATTAAAATATATTTTTATTAATATTTTAAATGACATTCAAAATTTGGTACTCATTAATTAATATATGATACACACGCAAAATTCATATCATGAGATTAATACTTAGCGAAAGAGAAAGTTTTTTTAAAAAAGTAAGAATTAATTAAAGCAAAAAATAGTAAAGTAGATTAATAAATAATATAATAGAAATAAGGAAGAACTAAAGGGGGGAAACCCCCGAAGCCTTGCCGGTGACGCACATTATGGGGAAAAAGGAAAAAGCCAAAAAAAAAGGGTTGAGTGGGGGTTTCGAACCCTCGACACCCATGTGGCAGATTCAGTCTTTTGTCAGTCGCAACATCAACAATTTTTGTTAATAGGTGGCAAGCTTAATAATTGATCAATTTGTTATACATCTACATATGTATACACAGAGTTTTAACCGAGGTCACTAGGTATCGTGGCACCCCATCGATACACATAGATCCGCCCCTGCTCACAACTTCGTGTTGATAGTGAGGGTGCTTATCATCTGAGCAATTTCCTCTCATTTACATATTACAATACATTTAAAAGATATGAAATATGTCGGCAAATAATTTCAAACGTTATTTTTTTTATTTATCATTGTATACTAGAGTGTCAATGGTTCGATTAAATCGGTTATTTTCTAGAAATTGAGGAGGAGCAACTTTTTTAAATTGCAATAACTAAAACAAATGAAGAGTACTGTTGAAAATTGCTTTAAGTAACTGCAATAATTTTCTTTTAAAACTAATAATTAAGTTTCCTAGGTTTAGGATGATTTGACTTTTAAACTTTTATTAGATTGTTTTAGTTTGTTGAGATATTTTTGAGTTTCGAATTATGCAGATTTTTTTTGTTGTAACTAGGTTATTTAAAGCTTTGCTATGCTTCAGAAAAATATTGAGAGTTATTTTTCAATCAGTACTTTCGATCTTTTTGCTGCCTCATCTTTTAAAAAACAAACGGTCATGCGGCATTACGCCTTGTCAACCCAAACTTTTTCAATGTTCAGAATGGTTACACAGATGATGATTCCCTTGTGTTTGAGTTGCACCTAAGTAGCATGTCAACCTCAATGTACAGAGAGGAAAAGAAGTAATCACCAAGCTAGTTACACGTCTTCAGTGTCACCAGAAATCCCCACAAGAACAGCAGCCCTGCTTAAAATGATGAAATCTGTAGTTATCTCTTATTATGATTTGTCGATTTGTAATCTTCGAGATATGCTTCATTGTGATATGGCAGTCCAAACAGATCCTAATGTTCTTGAATACGCGTATAGTGGTTCCCTTAGGTAAGTTCAATAGTCCAAAGCAAACTGCTAACTGTTCACTGTGAAATAAGCATTTCTCTTTCGTAACCTTACCTAGTTCTCGACTTGTTTTGTTCTGAATCTTTTGCATCAGATTATCCAATCTCGAATATAGTTTTGGCGTATCTATATGTCTTGTATCACCAGAAAAGAATCTATGAATCTTTGCATTCACCTCCAACCAGCTACAACCGGGTTCCTTCTGGACCGACTTAGACTTCATCAGCTCTCTTTGTTTGAGTGCATCCCTTACCTTGCCTGCTTCAACATACATGTTCGAGAGGGTGACATAAACTGATGCATCACCAGGGTCATGCTCTAATATTTTACTGGATGCCATCTCTGCCATTTCAAGGGAACTGTGAAATCTGCAACCTGCTAGAAATGGTCTCCAGATTGGAGCCTTAGGTTCAATTGGAAGCTTGTTTATGAATTCGAGAGCATTCTCTAACTGCCCTGATCTACTCAGCAGGTCAACCATGCAGCTATAGTGATTCTCTTCAGGTGATATTCCGTAATCTCTAGTCATAGACTCGAACAACTCTTTCCCTTGTTGAACTAAACCACAATGGCTACAAGCAGAAATGACAGCAAGGAAAGTTAAACTCGTTGGTAATATTCCATTCTCGACCATCTTTTCAAACAAGAATATAGCGTTCATTGGATTACCATACTGTGAATAAGCTTTAATCATTGCATTAAATGTCACACCATCTGGTTCAGATGTTAGATAGAAAACCTTCTCAGCATCCTCTAAATTACCGCATTGTGCATATGTTTCTATTAATGAACTCGCCACATGCAAGTTTGCCCCAAACATTCCCTTAACTACCCAAGAATGCACCTGCCTGCAGATTTCAAGGGATGGCAGTAACGAGCACGCCTTCAGAGTAACTGAACATGTATATTCATCACAAGCAATATCATTATTTAGCATCTTACGGAACATCTCCAATCCGGAACCAACCTCACCATTGTGAACAAGGCCGGTTATCACTGCATTCCATGATGCACAAGATGCTACGCGTCCCATCTCCTTGAGCTGTTTTCTAGCATTACCCAGTTCTGCACATTTTGAGTACATCTCTATTATGGCAGTCCCGACAAATACCTTTGAGATCATTCCATTTTTAATTACCTGAGCATGAAGTGCGCAACCATAATCATGATATTCTGCAGAAGCTGCACATGAAAGGGCCACAGAGTAGGTGTATTCATTAGGTTCAGTATTGTTCTTTCTCATCAAACAGAATTGTGTCAATGCCTTATAGAAAGCCTTTTGACGGTAAAGTCCAGATATATATGCAGTCCAAGATATATGGTTCTTATTAGCAAGTCCTTCGAACAAATTCACAGCCTCCTCAATCATTCCGAAGTTGATGTACATCGTCAAAGCTGAATTCCCCACCACTGTAAGGGACATAAAGTCCAATTTTACAATTTGAGCATGCAACTGTTTTCCTACTTGAACAGACCGACAAGCAGATAACAATATCGAGTACGTATAATGGTTTGACACGATATCTAGAATATCACCCATCTTGACAAAGTAAGCAAAGGCTTCAGATTCCATTCCATTGCTTACATACCCACAAATCATGCTATTACATGAAGCAACATCAACGTAAGACAACGTACCAAATATCATCTCAGCACTTGCCATTTCACCACACTTGGCATACATATTAAGAAGGGCCGTAGCTACAAACTTATCGAACCAAATACCCGTCTTAATCATTAAAGCATGATATAATTTTCCAAGCTCAAAACTTCCTTCACTACTACAATACCTCAACTGATCAATTACATATTCCTCATCCATGTAATTGCTAGCACAATCAAACATAGACTCTCCTAATAACTCATCAGTTACATCGGAATTCCCATTGCTTTCCATAACCATATCAGCTCTATCTACACATTCAGTAACATACAAATCTGCAACTGAACCCCTTGTTCTTTTAGCAATTTTATCAAGCAGTTGGCGTGCAGCAACTAGTTTGAGAACAGACACTTTATTATAAGAATATATGCATTTTCTCCGATGGACCGGCTTTAGTAGGTTGCCATTCACAGTGGAAGACAAGGAACAAAACGTTAAACTACTCATTTAGAGCTTCAAATTTACCCAAAAATTGCCTGCGAGCTGTAGAAATACCAAAATTGGAGCATAGGGTGTTTTGGTAAATTAACTTAATACATCCATGAATTATGACAGGGATGAATTTTCAGCCGTCCATTTATATTCTTGTAAAAGATAACATAACCAGAAGCGTGCAATCAATAACGCATATGGATTTTGCATCTGTTCTATCTCGAAATCCAGTTAACAATTTTCATTTTCCTCAAAACCTAAGAGAATTAACTTCAAGATTTGTTTGTAGAATTGGGTATGGAAGCTTCGTGATACCTAGACGAATGTCCTTCTCGAATAGTGCAGGTAGCTATTATAGGAAGAAGAGGAAAAAATACAAACATATATTGGTTAAGGCAAGTCGAAAAGAGTCTCCTTATGAAGTTTTAGGGGTATCTTCATCAGCGACCGCCGATGAAATCAAAAAGGCCTATCGCAAACTTGCTCTCAAGTATCATCCTGATGTTAACAAAGAGGTAAAACCTTTGAATTTTAGTCATTTCTGTGGCATGATTTGTTATTCTTATCATAGCGAAGCGCTCTCTCTGTTTCTGTTTGTGTTGTGCCTTTCGTCGTCTTAAGTGCTCCTGCAGGTTGATCTTGTTTGAAAATTAATATGGAGTAATACCTTCGAGGCAGTCCGTTTCTGATGCTAAAAAGTAAAAATCCACATTTTCATTGTTGTCAAAGAAAATTTAACCAGAGTAAACTGCTGTTACTATTCTGTATCTGTTGAACATAAATGCAATGAAGTAAAGATAGGTACAAGGTGCAGCAATTGAGGCATATTCATGAAAAAGAAATACATATCTGGATTCAGTTAAAATCCGCAATTTACAGAATTCGTGGATTGTGCTTGAAAGTCGAACGTTAGTAACTCTCTACACTGCTTTGCAAGTGATGTTTGTGTATTCTCAAAGAGTGAAAAGAGAGAAATTTGTACATAGACTGGTACATAATTTTGTGGTTGCTCAGCTTGTTGATTGTGTGTCACTGAACTGTTCTCTGATTGATAAAATCTTTAATTTACATAGGCTTAAAGCAATGCTTCTATGTGATCAAATTCCGGTCCCTCTATGCTATATATATCACACAAATATTTGCAGAAGTGATGATGGCTAAAATGTCTAAAGTTGTTAAGATGTGTTGGTATGTGACTTAACACTGTTTACTGTTTGAAACAAGAAAAGAAGAAAGGTGGTGATGATTAGGGATCAGGGTCTTGAATGTGGATTTCTCTCAGTTTCTATACTAGTGGTTGTCTTTGTGTATGTCCTTTTTCCAGTTTTTGGCAGTTAAGGGTTGAAGAAGTGTAGTTACTTATTCACTGCTTTATTTTGTTCTACAAGTTAACTTTTATCCCTTTTGGGGCGAGGCTGAGTTTTGCTGCGTACTTCGGGTTGGTAGTGCTATCTCATCTCTTGACCTCATGACAGTTCATAAAATGAAGAAAGCAATGCCCTTCAACCTTGGAATCACCAAATTGTTGTACAAAAGATGACATTTGTCATTGTTGCTTACAGCTGTAGTGATTCATCAGTTGTAAAGTCCGATGCTTGCTTTGTATCCCACTTGTCCACTCAGGACCAAGAAATAACAGAATATGTTAATCTAGCAACAGAAATTTCATATATAGTGCAACACAATTTATTTTACTTGAAATCAAGGCATCATATGTTAAATTACCTTTTCTCTTTACACTTTGTTTGCATAATCCTTGTTGGCGACAGGAAAGAAAAAAGAAAAACAGATTGCCTCTAGTTAAAACGGGGATAGGAACTAAAACTTTTCTTCCTTTCGAGTGAACAAAACCTGTTTTTATTTAAGTGCTTCTCCAGATTTGTTTGATTTCTTTCTGTATAGCGCAATGCTCAAGAAAAGTTTATGAGGATTAAGCATGCATACAACACACTATTGAACTCCAAAACCAGGAAGAGATATGATTCAAGAAGTGACACCTCAAGTTATTCATATTATAGTGGAGCAGAACAAAATAGAAGTGCTGCAGATGAAGAAGATTTTTATAGCTTTGGTAAAACATCTTTGCTAATTTGATATTTGCTGCTGACTTGTTCTTACATTTTGTTAGTATGCGTGATTGTTTATGTCCAGACAAATAAAAAAAATAGTTTTCTACAAATAGTCCGCAAAGCCTCATACTAAAGCAAAAGTGGTTTTACCTGGCCATCTCGAAGTCAGGAGATGGTTCAAAATCTCTATCAATTCTGTCCTCAAAAAGTACTAGATAACTCTTATCAGAATTATAACGTGAATGGTTAAAGCATCTATCATCCATCAATTAATGAACTAGAGTGTGTAATCTGATATGCCTCCAGTTTCTTGATTGAATTGTAAACTTTACGAACGAAAGCATTTAGGTTGGACTTCTGGGGGATACATTTGCTGATTTTATAGGCACCAGCTCAAAAAGTAGAACGAATATCTTACTTTATGAGGATTGAGGTCTAACTTTTACCATGACATTTAGCTCTTCAGGCTTCCCCCATTCCCCAGACTTCTATAGACAAACAGCACGGGTGACGGGGGGTTGTTGATGTCAAATCCACCACAGAACCTGAATCATGTAATAGAGTTGGATGTTTGAACCCAATGTTGAATATTGTTTGTGATACCTCAAAATAGTTACATGGCACCAATATCTTTGAATGTAGCATTACTTCCACACACAACATCCAAGTATAAGGCCAGTAATTTAAGTGTTCAAGAGGTTTCACCTACGATATTCATGCTAAGAAACTGTATGTTTATACTAAACAAAAAGAATACTCAAAACTAAAAACAAAAACCAAAAGCAAGAAAATAAAACAGAAATATACGTTAATCTATGCAGTAAGGCATTTTTTTTGCTTTACATTCTTATGTTTAACCCCTTCATGCTGCAGGTAGCTTTTTCAAGGATGCTCAAATAACCATAGGTAGATTGTAGTTAAAGATACAGTATCCATTATCGTCAACTGTCCTAGGACATTTTTCATATATAGCTTGTCTTGCAGTTGAGAGAGTCATGTGCTCAAGTCTAATTTCTTTCTGCAGCGGACTTCTTTAAGGATCTCCAAGAAGAATTTCGGAATTGGGAGTCAAATGTTGCTTCCACGGGAAAACCAAAGAGTTTGTGGGAAGAATTGGCGGTATGAATTTGATAAATTCAACTTATGAGAAAGAAAAACACAATCGACAAATGTAGAACTGATAAATTTATATTTCATCTTTTCTCCTTTTGATCATTTGCCTCTTACCACCCTCTGGGTATTAACCTTTATTTTCCCTAAAAGGTGTCTCTAGCTTATTTACCCTTGGGTTTGAGCAAGATTCCTTGGATGAATATCATTTAAATATTAGAGTTGGAATAAATTGTGGTACTTTTACTTTGCATGCGATAGAGAAAGAATTAGAGTTTACAATTTGACTGTTGACAGGAAATTGGAGAAGACTTTGTTGAGTTTTTAGAGAAGGAGCTTAATATAACCGATGCAGAGGTAGAATTCGAAAACAACAACGAGAGACCCCAGAAGGGCAATGCACAATCTGGAACTAGTAATGAAAAACAAAAGAGAACAGATAGAGATAACAGTATTGAAGAAAATATTGATGAGATTGAAGCAGCCCTTGCCCAATTGAAAAAGGAATTAGGATTATGATGGCATTGAATCGATACTCGCAAAGAAATATTGAACAACATCTTTTTGGTTGTGCCTGGCTGCAACAAAAATGGTTCACCTACTTTAAACATGTACCAACTGAAAATCACAAAGGGTTTGCTTTATTTTCCTTGAACACCTGCTGTGATTGACATTTTCTAGAGTAGCCACGGAGAACTGTCTGCTGCATCTTTTGATGTCTTAGAAATAACTAGTATAGTTGATGCTCAGACGAACACAATGATTTTGGTGTTTCACATGCGGAGTTTAATAGCAGACAGGAAGATACTTCTTACTAATTCCTGTACGATGGGATGATAATTTTTCATCGGTATAATACTCCTTAAACTACTACCATATGATGGTCATGGCGCGATCAGCTTTCTGCATAGTTCAGTTTTGTGTTGGTTATTTGGACGATGGTTAACTCAAGCACTCTCACCTAGAAAAGACATGAAAAAATGGTCAATCCTTATTTAAGTGTTACATATTTTTCTGGCAACAATTAGTAAGACAAAAGGGCGAAAAATTGGACTTATTTATATTAAAAATAAGAAAAAATTATGTAAATAGGCAAACATGTGATATTATTTACCATACACAACTATAGTTTGAAAGAATTACAATTTATAGTTATAGTTAGGATTTTGTCGCTATTTTCTCTCTCCCTTGCCTCTCTCCTCTTTCTTTGCTCTCCCGCTTGCATCTCTCCTCTCCTCTCTCTCTTCCACAAAGGCTAAAGAAGAAAGTTGAGGATGGTAAGTTTTTGAATTCAGCACATGTTTGTTTTCTTGAGTTTATCAAAAGTAACTATTATCCGATCCTTAATTTTTGCACACTTATCTTTATTCTAGTGTATCTCATGTCATTTTGTCAATCATCAAAACTACATAGAACCAAACATATTTGAAATAGGAAAAGAAATTACAATAGCAAAAATTAGTGGCAGAAAGAAATCGTCACTAATTAATTATTTTTTTAATCATTATTATCATATTGTGAGGGTTATAATATTGCCCAACATAATTTTTTGAAAAAAACTAATATCATATTGTGGAGTTTATAAATTGTGTCACCAATAATCTCTCAAAATCTCCAAAAATTCAAATTTCATTTTGTGGTGATCGTTGTAGAGGTATTGAAAAAACCATTGTAATAATGCTCATGGTATTGCTAATCGTAGCATTTTTAAAACCGCTGCAATTTTAATTTGTGGATGTTTGAAACATCCACAAATTAGATGTTTTCTTGAGCAGATATTATTTTGAAGTGACAGAGTAACTACTGCATTTGAGATTTGACCCAACACCTACATAG